ATGTGTGTTACCATGATGGTGTTTAGTGTTTGTGTGAATGACATTGTGCACCTTCTATATATATTATTATTTAAAGGCTGCTTGTTATGGGCTTTAGTTCATCATGTGACTTTCTCATCACCACCTGCATTTGGTGGTTATCAGTGTATTACAAAAGGTACAAAACAGATTTCAGTACTTCAATAGGTTGGTATATTAACATTATATCAGTTAATTAAATTACGGTATTTAACACTAAATTTAAGTTAAAGCCATAAAACCTAAAATGATCCTACCGTATTTTTTACGGTAAAATTCCACAGCTGCCGTTTTTTTTACCGTACATTTTACGGATTTTTTTTTTTACAGTGCAGGTTTGTCCTGATCAGCCCTCTCACCAGAATGAAAGAGAAAGATCTGACATACTCACAGCATACTCACACTTTACAGTAAGAGCCTCCTAAGACTATTGTCACAGCAACGGGAAAATCAAACAGGCCTTTGAATGAGTTTCTCTTGTGTTGTGTAGAATGGGTGGGTCTACGCTGTGCCCATGGTTACACCCTTTTACCAGAGTGAGTTACAACTGAAAGGAACGCCAACCGAATTAACTGACGTACCTTGGATCAGCGAGTTGACTCATATGTATTAAAGCATCATGTTTGTAAAGACTGTAGACAGAGAGGTAGAAAAATTATGCAGGTATGCAATAGCTGTTTGTTTTAATGAAAGCCCAGCTTTAGATATTGGTTATGGGATCTTAAAGGGATAGTTCACACAAAAATGAAAATTCTGCCATTACTTACTCACTCTCATGTCGTCCCAAACCTGTAAGGCCTTCGTCCATCTTCAGAACACAAATTAAGATATTTTTGATAAAATCGGAGAGCTTTCTGACCCTGCTTAGACAGCAACGTAACTGACACATTCAAGGCTCAGAAAGGTAGTAAGGACATCGTTAAATTAGTCCATGTGACATCAGTGGTTCAACCATAATGTTATGAAGCTAACAGAAAAATTTTGTCCACAAACAAAAATAACTTTATTCAACAATTTCTTCTCTTCCGTGTCAGGCTTCGACGCACATTCATGACAGTACAACAACGCATTTCTACAATAAAAAAAATAATAATTGTGACTTTATCTCACAGTTGACTTTTTTTCCCTCACAATTGTGAGATATAAACTCACAATTTAGACTTTTTTTCTCATATTATGAACTTTATTTATTTTTAAGTTCTGACTTTTGTCTCAATTGTGAGTTTGTATCTCGTGATTTAAAACAAGAAATTGTGAGATCTCGAGATATAAATCTCGAGATATAAACTCACAGTTCTGACTTTTTTTCCTGCAATTGTGAGTTTAAATACCAGAATTGCAAGAAAAAAAAACCTAAAATTGTGAGAAATACTCGCAACTGCAAGAAAAAAGTCAGAATCTGGAGATATAAACTTGCAATTGTGAGAAAAAGTCTAAAATTGTGAGATATAAACTTGCAATTGTGAGAAAAAAGTCTATAGTGTATATCTTGCAGTTCTGACTTTATTTCTCGCAATTGCGGGTTTATATCTTACAATTCTGAAAAAAAAGTCAGAATTGTCAGATAAAAGGTCAGTTACCCTTTTTTTTAATTTAGTGGCGGGAACAGGCATCCATAGGAAACCGTTCTCTAATAATGAATCACTCCGTTCAACTCTCACTGGGTAACAGATCTATCAATGAGTCACCATGGGAGGCACCCCATTGGTTACGTAATACATCCATCATGTCTGAACAGTGAAACAACAATTCTCACATTCCACCTTCCCATTCATCTACTTTCCCTCTGCCTATTTTCCACTCAGGAAATCCAGCTACAAAATTCCAAATATTCCCATAGGAATGCTTCAGCAGCCAACATTCATCCAGCTGCATAACACAAGTCAAACAAATTGTGAGAAGGAGAAGAAGAAAGAAAAAAAGTTGCTGCATAATGTGACCAACCCTATAGGCGAGGCTATAATGAAAGAGCAATTCTAGCTTGTTTGGGAATGAATGGTGATCAGATTTGCTTTTTGAAAAAACAACCAGTAAAAGACTTTCTGTGTACATGCTGGGCTTGGTTTTAGGGAGTTAGCCTTCGAGGGTTTTAGGGGACTGTATCAAAAAATACTCATTAGATTCCTGAGAGCCGAGTCTGTACTATTGGCGGTTCCCTGTGTCGTCATTGCTAATATTGATCCTATTTGTTGGCCTTTGACCTCTCCCACCATTTGCTTTTGCGCATCCAGTGTTATCTGAGAACATCTGCAGCTAAGGTTCACAAGGGTCAGAGTACACAGAATGTAAACACTGCACAGAGCAAATAACACATCACTGTACTTAGCGCACATATGAGAGTTACACTTCTGTTTCTGTTAAATTAATAAGAGCGTCAATGCTCATCATTGTGCTAATTTCCTGCTGTCAAAACAAAGATACAACATTTGCAATACAAAATAAATACATGCACCATTATACTTATATATATAGTCTTCTGCAAAATATGACAGAGCCTGTTTAGTGCCTTCATGAAATATTCAAATAAATTTTTTTGGAATATGTAAAAATACAACAAAGTACCAGGATCCTTTTGCATAACATACAAGCTTGGTAACTTCCCATGCAATCTAACGGCGATACAATAGGAGACATTTAGCAAATATTAATGTGCAAAGATTTCCACCTTGTAATCAGTGTCAATAGAGTGCTGCAGTGATGATACATTTTTTTTAGGGCAAGCTGGAAGTTAGCATCTCCTTGGCTTCTACCTTATTTCAGGCATTTAACCACAAAACCATTCAAAAACCCATTGACGTCAGCACGATGGAATCGGAACGCATTTGCAGACTTTGGCCTACAAAAATACATCATTATTTTATTGGCAAATTATTATTATTTTTTAATAAAAATAACTTATTATACAAGCATTATATAAAAATAATATCAACAGCACAACTGTTTCACTCAGATGCATAGCAATGGTTAAAAAAATTAAATAAAACTTATATATGCCAATTAAGTATTATGTTAAGTTTTGCAGTCACCAAACCTGTCCTACAGAAACTATCATGCAGCAGCCTACAGTCAAGCTGTACAAACAATCATATTTACTCATACTAACTGAGAGGTTAGTGTGTTAGATTGTTTGATAAGATTATCTAGAGGGACACACAATTATGAATTATAAACAGAACGTAATCTTGTGCTTTTTAGGAACATTTTGCTTCCAGTCTAATAGCCTACGTCATAAAACTTGAAACTCAGACATCATCTATACTAATTAACGTATTATTAGACAATAAACACACCCCTATTCTAACCCCCCCCTTTTTTTTTCTTTTTTTGAGGTGGGGCCAGTCAATATATTGGTCGAGTAATTACAAATCTGAACTACAGGCCTGACTGGGCCAGCAGAATAAAAACCTTATTTTATGCACCCTGCTGAAACAGGCCTTTACCTGACATGATAATTTCATTCTAAAATAACAATGAATCAACACTATAGTCCCATAACCAAATTTTGACCGAATTACTTAAATCACACTGATGCCAGACTGAATGTGAGAACCACATCTGGAAAAAAGTTGCAAAAAAATATAATCTACAACATAGTGAATTGGTGGGTTTTTGTTAAATGTGAGCCAAAATCATCACAATTAAAAGAACCAAAGACTTAAACTACTTCAGTCTGTGTGCATTGAATTTATTTAATACACGAGTTTCACAATTTGAGTTGAATTACTGAAATAAATGAACTTTTCCACGACATTCTAATTTATTGAGATGCACCTGTATATATCTCTTCTAAGTTATTAGGCACTTACCCTCTCATTTAATTATGCCAGAATGAGCAATAGTGATAAGATATTTTGAGAATATGACTATGTCCCACAGAAGAAAGTCACACAGGTCTGGAAGGACATGAGGGTGGGTGAACAATATGACACCTAGACTGCACAAGGACGGTTTTTTTTTTTTGCACTCAATTGTTATAGCTCAGAATTTGTTTCATTTTTAAAGGTACAAGCAGTGCATAGGAATATAAAGTGTGTCTGAGTCCATACTTAAAGTGAAATAAGTCTCTTTAAAAGAATAATCAAGGTCACATGGGCTGCACAAGTGTTCTGAGGTGGGCATAACTTTTACTTGTAATGGAGTAATGTTTGACCAGCAGTATCTGTACTTTCACTCAAGTAATGGAGTTGAGTACTTTGTCCGCCTCTGGCATTTTGTGTTGCCTTACACATACAAGAGGAGACTATTAATAGCATGCGTGTCATTAGCTGAACACCACCATCAGCAGAGCCACGAGCACCACCCAAACTCCTACAATACAGCCAGGCCTGACATCACTGACCACTTCCCTTTTAGAAATCACAATGAAACTAGCTCTGCACTAAAAGTTCATGAGCAGGCAAACACACACACACACACACACACACACACACAGATTGTGATGAAAAACTGCTGATATGAAAACAGAGGGGAAACCGTTGTTACAGAATATATATAGTTTTCAGCAGGGACACATGTAATTTATCAAAATCTCTTTAAATAAATGCTTTCTATGGGGAAAAAAAAGTGTGTATCACATTTTCCATAAAGCTGCATAACTGGGGTAATGGCTGCTGAAAATTCAGCTTTGCGATCACAGGAATAAATTAAATTTTAAAATAATGGTAACCAGTTTTTACAGTATTTTGATCAATTAAACCCTTTGTGAGAACGAGACTTCTTTCAGAAGCATGTTTAAAGAAATGATAAATGTATCTAAAGAGGGAATAAATGAGATCATTCACACTTGTGACCTACAGAGTTATTCATAAATTCATATGCGGCAAACTACATACCAAATAAGAAAGATAAGAAGCAGCCATAATACACGGTGTGTGTGACAATCACCTGCTTTGTAAATCAAACAGTTCTGACCTTGTAAATATGACATGCAAAAGTCTCTATTATGGTTTAACAGCAGGTCTCAACAAGTTGGCAGGAGCTGCTTGATCCCTCGGAACTGATTACAGTCTGAAAATCTGTAACCACTCCTTTACCAGTACAGTATTTCTCACATTAAAAGGAAGTGCACCAAAACTTCTGTTAAAAAAATGGAGAAAAAACCCCAAAAACAACCGTCAATATGTCAGCAGTCAAGCTAATTTCCGGCAATGTGAGCGGCTGATGTGGCCACGACTGATCTGAATACTGGCATGTGAGGCAGAAGAAACAGCCTAGCAGTTTAACAATCATTCAAGATGGCGCGCAAAGCAACAAGTGATCACAGCACTTGTTATTAACAGCTGTGTCAGCAAGAGCGGCATTTGTGCCGACCAGCGCCGGCCGCCCATTACTCTTCTCTGTGTGCAAGTTTCGCAGCTGTGCGGCCTTTAGAGAGCAAGTGGGAGACATCCTGTTTTTACAGTGGGATTTGCTGGGGGGTGGGGTCAGCCTGCAAAACAGCACAATCCTGACACAGCTTATTTTGGGGGATTAAACTAAAATGTTCATATAACAAATATTTGTGATAAGACGTTAAAGGAGGATCTAAGAGTTACTGCACTGTGACGTTGCTCTCTAGGCTTTCAGAAATTAAATCACTCACTGAAAATGTGCCAGTTCACATATGTTAGAAAGGTGTCTGCAGTCCTGTGTGCGAACACATGAAGAGGTCAAACATTAAACCCAACACACATTCTTTAGAATCTTATCTACTACGGATTCCAAAGTGCTTGGAGTCCCAGGTTTGGAAAATATTGTGCAAATAGGACAATATTTTCCATGCGTGCTACCTAGAACAAAACTAAAAAGAAATGGAGGAATTTTAAAGCAGCGCTAAATTAATTTTCCATCTGACTTTGGTTTGGCTCGGTAAGTGACGGTGGAAACTCCAGTGCATCGATAGGCATCAAAGACAGCATGAATTAGTCAGAACAAGAATGAACTAAGAGCGTTAAAATGACTAAGTTTAATTTGAAGTTACAATTACATAGCTGTTTCTGTACATGTTTCTCAAAATGATTAAAGCAAAGAGAGGAAATGAATAGAATGAAACATTTCTCTCCAAAATGACAAACTCAGTCCACTCTACCGCAAGCACTACACTTGAAATGCAAGAATGTAACAATCCCACATTTTAGAGACACATGAGTGTAAGTCAAAGACAATCTGGTCAATGCAATTAGCCTAAATGGTAAAAGGGTTACAAAAGGCATCCCTCGATGTTTAAAAATGAAGTCTCTTTAACGTTGAACTTATTTTGGGCTACACTGCAATGCAGAAAAAAAAAAAAAAAAAAACTTTGTGGTTTTTCAAGCTTTCGAGAACAAAGACATCACTCGGTTCGACTATGCTGTATGAATATAAGTTATGTCTGTGGTAAGTCCGCCTTCCGCGATTAGACTTTTGCATAAAATGTTCCATGGACTCATTTCCATGTTGATTATCATTGGATGTCAGTGATATCATAATGGCACAGTTTTAAACCTGTTACACCACATAGCTACCTACAATTAGTATGCTACAACCTCCTCAGCAAAACTGTGCTTTGCTACATGCCTGGACAGTTTTGATACATCTTGGTATAAAATGCCTTTAACACACTATTGGACCGTTTGCTGGAGACAAACTCCATTTTTTTTTGACTCTGATATCTCAAAGAAAGAAGCTGAAGGAGAGAAAACAAATATAGAAAACCTACAATCAAAGAAAAAAAAAAAAAAAGAGAATTTTCATTCAGGAATCCTTTATCATGTTAAGCAATAGTCCATGGTGTGTGACACGGGTATGTCACAGTATACAGGAAACTAAAAGCAAGCCAAACCCATTACGTTGTTTCAAAGAGGGCCGTTTGAAAACGAACCAAAAATAAATGTTAACTCTAAATCAAAACAGCACAAATATTGGGTGGAGAGTGTGATTTTTCCCCATATTGAGTTTATTTGTCCTAAACAGTCAGTGCCAGTGTCATTAAGACTTGTAGTTAGATGTTAACCAAGTTAAGCCTTCGTACAGTCCGTCACCAGTGGTTGCGCACGACGGCTGCACATACCAATTCCTATCCCGGATGCGCGTCAGTCCCAGCTTCTCCTGGATCTCGTGTGGCTTCATGGCGTCCGGCAGGTCTTGCTTGTTGGCGAAAATCAAAATGATGGCGTCCCGCATCTCGCGGTCGTTGATGATACGGTGGAGTTCTTGCCTGGCTTCGTCAATGCGATCTCTATCAGCACAATCCACCACAAAAATTAACCCTTGCGTGCCCGTGTAGTAGTGTCGCCAGAGGGGACGGATCTTATCTTGTCCGCCCACGTCCCACACGTTGAACTTGACGTTTTTGTAGGTGACCGTCTCCACGTTGAAACCAACGGTTGGGATGGTGGTCACAGACTGGCCGAGTTTCAACTTATAAAGGATGGTGGTTTTTCCGGCGGCATCCAGTCCGAGCATCAATATTCTCATCTCTTTGTTACCAAATATCTTTGACAGCATCTTCCCCATCTTGTATACTTTTCATAAATGGTTACTTCCCTCCAAAAAGAAAAAGGTTGATATGGTAAAGGTTTGAAAGTTGAGATACAAGCACTTGTTCTTTAAGATTTCCTCTTGGGAATGTCAAATTTGGAAGTAAACAGAACAAGTGTATAATGTTACCAGGAAACAGGGCACAAAGTCACAGTGAATAAAATGTAGTTCCAGCCAATACTGGTCACTTGGTTGCTGATTAAACGGCGGTAAGGTTACTGAAAACTTTCAGTAGAAGTGAAAAGGTCAAAGCTCGATTTTCAGGGCTTTTGCTTCGGTTGTAGGGTGGTACCTGTTTGAAAAACGCCACCCTGGATAATAATCCACAGAAAGGCCACAAATGCAGCGATTTTTCGGTGCTTTTCCTGTGTGTCTGGTAAATGCTGCGAGGCCTCTTTAAGAGCCTGCGGTATTTCAAGACTTCCTCTTGGCGTGTGAATGTCAGTCTCGGGGGCTCTTTCACGTCCTTCCCCCAAAATGTAACCGGATAGCAGCTGAAGTCGTTCAGAGCCTCGACGGAAAAGCGTTCATTTGGCCGGTCAGTGGGTCTGTCATCTGGTCCGTCTGAAGCGGAGCCGCGTCGATTTCAACCGTCCCGAATTCGAAGTGTGTCTCACGTGCCCCTGAGAGACAAGAGATGCTCAGAGGGAGTGCCAAAAAACAGCAACTTAGCCTGCTAGCTTAGCCGGCCGAACAACCCACAGAAAATCGCCACCACACACTTTTTACACATATTTTCGACAGGTTATGTAAAATATAACCATTAACAAGTTATTTTCATTCATTTTAGAGCGACTAAATGCATTTTTAGTTACCTGCGGAGGCCCACCATTCTCTAGCAGTCTCAACCCCGGCGTTCACTCCTAAAACCAGCCGAGTTCAGTGTGAAACTGACTACGTCAACGCGAACCAGCGGAAATGGCCGTTGCAGCCCGATTTTCATAATACAGGTCTTGGCAAACGTCATTAACTGTTCGACTTTACTTTTAAAACATACATTTAAAACACACACACACACATTCAATATATTACACAGTCTGAGACATAGAACACGGGGCAGTTAGCCATATCGACAGTATTAGTTGTTACTGTACAATCAGCAATAACACAGGACAAATCTATAAAGCGAATTAAAAAAAAAATCCCAACCAATAAATTATAACATGGTTGTTATGAATTGAGATAAAAAACGTTGACAATGCTCATGAAAGGCTTGATAACCGGATAGTTCACCCAAAAGTGAAAATTCTGTCATTATTTGACATCACTGAATCATCAATGAACTGACTTTAGCAAGAAAATGACTATGTTATTGTCCTCTTGCATTAATGTCAAACTATTTTTTTCTGTTGACACTGTAAAGCTGCTTTGGCACAATCTGTATTGTATAAAGCACTGTATAAATAAAGGTGACTTAATTTGACTGTTTCCTAACCCCCCATGTTGTTACAAAACTGTATGATTTTATTTATTTTGTGGAACACAACAGAAGATATTCTATATTGGTAACCAAACCATTTTGTTTACCATTGATTTCCAGAAAATAAATAAATTAATAGGTGTCTACCTACTAAGACCCATAACTGACTTGTGAAGACAGTCACTTGTCACCACCTACTGGTGTAACAATGTAACAGTATACAATGTAATCAGCATAATAAGTCACATCTATCAATCCATCTAATGAACAGTGTGGAAAAAACACAGAAAATGGTTGGAAATGCAACAGCAGCACACATTTATGGCTACAACAAATAAGAGAGTAAATGTTATCTTTATATGTATATGGTCAAGGCCAAGGAAGCTACAAGAATTAAATTGGTAATTCATGAATGAACTACAGCTACAATGGATGGCCTGGCAAGCCTAAGTTATAGAAAATAAGAGTTATTATTAATTATTGTTATTATTAGTATTATTTATTATGAATTATTTACAATTAATTGAGCAAATAACGACACTTTTTTTATCTCAAGTGTCACAAGTGTCACAATAAGTTGATTTGTACGTTTCCAGCATCTGTACCTTTATCAGTGTTTAAAATCAAGGCGCTGTCTCTTTAAGAAACTGCGTCGCTCGGTTTTGGGAAAGCTAAGCTAGTCAGATATGGCGGAATGGAAGCACACTACGGCGGCTCCGTCTTCAGCAAGCATGACCTCGCTGGGTCGAGCGCTTTCCCGCAGCAGGTTAAGTCAGCCAGAAGGGTTTCAGTCGCAGAAGAGCCGGAGCGCCGCGGGACAGACTCGCAGGAGGTACTCCAGCAGTTCAGAGTCACCTGATATCAGCCCAAATGTCGAGGCGCGGGTCCTGGTCATAAACACCGGCGGAACCATTGGAATGACGTATCATAATAACGGTAAACTGCATCAGCATCGCTCACACACCTGACTGCAAGAGGTTCACATAGTGTTGGGAGTAACGCATTACAAAAGTAATACTATTACAGTAGTATATTACGTTTTGCTGTAACGCAGTAATATAACGCATTACTAATCAAATTTGGGTAATATTATTACTCGTTACAATGTCAGTAACGCAAGTTACAACAACATATTTTAACTCTAAATTAAGTGGTGAATTTACCAACACCGCAAAACAGCACCAGAGAAAAAATCCCGCGGGTAAAATAGTTTATCTTCTGTTGCTGGAATTAGATGGTTGAGATGACTGCAGAGACGGATTCTACATTTGTGAGATGGACACACTCCTCTTATTTTCAGTGTATCGGAGAAAAGGAAAAGAATGCTTAGCAAAATGTGCGACACCAAACTCTCAACAGTTCAGAGGGGGTGCTAAAAAACTAATTAAATTGAGTTAAAATAATGAACGCCTATAAGCTTCAGCATACAAATTCAGCCACCTTGTGTTTTTTATACAGCAGCTTCGAAAAAGACATATTTTATATATTTTTTTCTATGGTATAAACTTCTCATATGCCACTGTTATTAGTGTAAAATTTTTATATATTATTTATTTATTTACACATTATTTTGTGAAAAAGTACATTTAGGCTATTTATCTTACAATAACGGTCATGCACAAATAATTATTTTTTTCTGTTTGCATAAGTAATCTTTGATAGTCTGTGTTAGATTATTTCAAAACTAAATAAAAACTAAAATAACAGTACAGTAAGATGTAAAAAAATTCAGTTTTACATTGGGTGCTAAAGCATGAATTGTCATTAACCTGTTATACAGTGTCAATCTAGTAATTTTTAACAATTATCAAATAATATAATTTCATGAATTTCAAGTATGACTTGTCCAGTCCAGTGTTAACATTTTTGTTTTGAGAGCAAAGAGGTTGCAAGTTTTTAATTGTAATAAACCCAAATTGTAGCTGTACATTAATGGCTGTACATTAGAAGCAGGAACACATCTCCATAAATATCCAGATGGTAATGAATTGCACAGCTGAAAGTCTGTATAATGCACTGGTGACTTGATTATATAAAGTAATAAATAGGAATGGGAAGAGTCCTTCAAGAGTGGTTTTGTTTACAGTATTCAAACTGAATTGGTCTGAAAAGGATGCTGATCATGTTTTATGACTTTATTAGTAATTCCTAATAAAGAATGTCCAAATATTTGCCTTCTGTAAACAGTAGTTCATCTTGTACATTAGAAGCAGGAACACATCTCCATAAATATCCAGATGGTAATGAATTGCACAGCTGAAAGTCTGTATAATGCACTGGTGACTTGATTATATAAAGTAATAAATAGGAATGGGAAGAGTCCTTCAAGAGTGGTTTTGTTTACAGTATTCAAACTGAATTGGTCTGAAAAGGATGCTGATCATGTTTTATGACTTTATTAGTAATTCCTAATAAAGAATGTCCAAATATTTGCCTTCTGTAAACAGTAGTTCATCTTTCCCGACGTTGGGCTTTAGTACCATTTCCTGCACAATACTGCTTGAATAGGGTAACAAACTTGGTTTTTATTTATATAAAAAGAAGCTTATCTAAAACAAACGCTGATAAAAAAAAAAAAAAATGATAGCGCCTTTTAAAGAATTTGCAAGGTCAAGCACAAAAACATTCAGCTCTGCTAAATTGTTTATCAAAGTTCAAGGACAGAATCCGCATTACATAATACAATAAACACTGACTTTTTCCACCCAAAACTGTTTTATCTTCCATTACATAAACACAGGATCTGTGAAAATCAACCATCATACAGTATGTGGACTGAACATAGGTTCTGTTTAAAAGTCCTGTTTTTTTTTTTCTTTCCTCAGTGGAAACCTGGGCACATTTTCTTCCAAGACTCAAGTTATGTGAAACAGACTCCTGTATATATATATATATATATAATTTTTTTTTTTTTTGCCTTACACCTGCTGTTATGGGTCTGCATGATGCAATTTTGCTTTTACTTCCCTGGAAACCAGAAAGGATTTTATCATGAGATTTTTAGTGTTCCATTTCATTTCATTATCCAATTAATATGCATTACCAAATGTGACCCTGGACCACAAAACCAGTCATTAGGGTCAATTTTTTGAAATTGAGATTTATACATCATTTGAAAGCTAAATATTTGACTGAGATACAACTATTTGAAAATCTGGAATCTGAGGGTGCAAAAAAAAAATCTAAATATTGAGAAAATCGCTTTTAAAGTTGTCCAAATTAAGTCCTTAGCAATGCGTATTACAAATCAAAAATTCAGTTTTGATATATTTACGGTTGGAAATTTACAAAATATCTTCATGGAGCATGATCTTTACTTAATATCCTAATTATTTTTGGCATAAAAGAAAAATTGATAATTGTGACCCATACAATGTATTTTTGGCTATTGCTACAAATAAACCGGGTGACTTAAGAGTGGCTATTTGGTCCAGGGCCACAAATATTATAATAAACCACTTAAAAAAAAAAAAAAAAAATTCTAGCATAAATAACTATTTTGATTAACTTAACATGGTATAAAATTATTAATACTGTGATACAAGAATGTTTTTTTATACTGCCCAATAATAGGGGATATCAAAATGTGCAAAATGATACAGTACAATATACACGGTATCAAATATTCAGGATGGTATCTTTTTGGCCTCGTTGCTAAATTCTATTCAAAAGAACCTGAGGGTTGCAAACATGACATGTATGACTTTGTATATGGTGCATTTGTTATCAGATGTGCCTTTGTTGATAATATTTTTACTGGCTTTTCTTCTGTATTTGCAGTTCTGTCTCCAGAACCTAATGCTCTCGTTGAAACTCTACGCAAACTCCCCATTCTGCATGATGAGCAGTACGCACAACAGACCAGACTGTATGAATACTACAAGCCTCCGGAGAACACGCTGGTGCTGCCGTAAGTTCCCACACTGCACAAAAATACGTGATCAGGTTAGAAGTTTGTGGAGGTGTTGTCCTATTCATAGATCCAGTATTTAACTATTTGTGTACAAGATACAGGTTTGATGGTTGGTTTCTGTTATTATTGCACCAGAATAGCAATACTTCTCCCAGAATTAAAGTTGTCATTATTTACTTGCCCTATCTAATTAAAAAAGGTTAAAAATACATATTAAAAACATTCTTAAAAAAAAAAAAATTCTGTCTTGTAGGATGCTGTTTCTTTTATTTTGTACACATCTGATAATATTATAGACCATACAAATTTGTGTTATTTTAACAGGAAGTCCACTCATTCAGCTGATCCTCTAATTCATGGGTGCTGTAGTACTGGTAGCATAATGTTTGCCCTTGTGGGATGTATATGTACTTGTACATGTTTGCATGATTTGTGTTATAAATTTGCTAGTTAGCTCAGTGGTTATGGCTATACAATAAAGTTTAAGCTATGAGAATGGCAGATGAAATATATGTTTCTTCTTGACAACTTCATCTCATGCATTCACTGGTGTAATTTACTGTGGCATTATTTAAAGCCTGTTCACACCATGTCTGATGACTAAAAGTCTAAAATAAATAATTCTATAATTACATATATTTATTATACTGTAATGCAGACTTGCAGAGTCATTATAATATAATAAATGTGTTTTAAATGAATATTAATTTATTGCAATAAATATTCATTTATTAAGTCAACACTTTGAAATTATTCACACCAAGTGGAACATAACAAAAGGTTACAGTGCTAACATTGTAACATAAAATATAACACATTTTTTCATGTTTTATTTGAAATAACTGGTCTTTTAACAATTGTAATATAGCATGGTTTTTATTTCTAAGAATTACAATACACTTTCCACAATAAATGTTGTTCCACAGATTATATGTGTAGCTTCATATTACAACCTTATATTATATATAAGCAGATTAAATTTGAAATGCTGTATATATACCAGCCTATATTTTACATTTGGGTTGATTAAAGATATCTAATAATGTCTCGATAATAGAAAGGAGCAGTCAAGTCAGTTTTATGTTTGGTGCCTTAGTTTTGTATTCTGCACATTAAAGGTGTGTGATTTTTGCTTGTTGCTTTTGATTTGCAAACATAATATATGCTGTACTGGCTATATGTTATGGTTGGGTTGTGCACATGCGAGTATGTTAGAGATGCGCCAATGCAAAATTTGTATGCCAAACCCAATATCCAGTTACTTCTACAAATCTCTATTAGTATTAGATCTATTACTCTTCTAGCTCATCAGTGCACCTAACAAGGGTGGCCCAATTTAACAGCCACATGAACATATGTATGTGGTTTTAGGATAAGCTCCCCATTGTTAATGAAGACAGGTCATGCTAATCTGCTCACTCTCGGTTCCTAAATGTGGAAAATCGCCCAGTGCTCCCCTCTTCATTACAGTAAGACCATGAGCCGCCCCTAGAGCGATGAGCAAAGTCTGAAGTCTGCTGCTTCATAACATTTACTCATCCATTGACGCACAAATGGTTTTTGCTTTAACTACAGGAGACGCCCCTGAAATCAGTCAAACTCTCGCTATCAGTAAATAATCAACTTTTTTTGCTAGCTAAACTAACCCATGTTTGCCTATAATGGCCTTTGCTGGTTTAAAAAAATAAGTTTTGCTTTACTTTAAGAGCTTGTTGTCAGTGTTTGGGTGTCTTTCACAATAAACATTACAATTTTGATGCTTTTTAAATAATTTTTCGTCTTTTTTTCCACTCCAGACTGTCCAAACAGAACAAGAGGATTGTATATTCAATTTTAGAGTATTCTCCCCTCCTCGACTCCTGCAATATGACCACAGATGACTGGGCCACTATTGGAAAAGACATTGAGGTGCTCCCTTTTTAACCATCTTTATGTTTTAAAATTTATTGTGTGAAACTTTGCGTCTTTGTTTGTATTATACAACTATTGAGCTTTGATCGGGTCACTCCCATTGGTGCGCATATTTTTTTATTTTTTTTCCACAGCCCTGAGTTGGACAAGACTGAATGTAATGACTTGTAAACAGAGCTGATCATGATTAGTTTTTTGATGCTGGCATTTTATTATAATTTTTTTTTTTTTACAAAGGGGGAACTTTTTTCAATTTGTAATTGTTGGCAATCTTCTAATTTCTTGAATATAGTTCTGTGAACTGATAAACAGATTGTCAGTTGGTATTTTTTTTAACTTTTTTTCTCTCATGTTGACAGAAACACTATGAGCAATATGATGGTTTTGTCGTCCTGCACGGCACAGACACAATGGCTTACACCGCCTCTGCCTTATCCTTCATGTGTGAGAACCTGGGAAAGCCTGTCATCCTCACTGGCTCACAGGTAACACGTTTTACTCACCCTTGTTTTTCCAAACCTATATGACTTTCTTTCTTTCTTTCATGGAACACAAATGAAGGATTTTAAAGAATAGTCTTTGACTACTTATAGAACTACATGTGCATTTTAGTTATGTCTCAGATGTTTCCATTAAATAGTTTTCAGTGCACCAGCATACTTATAGTTATTATGCCTAAATAAATTTAACATTTAACATTTTACTCAATTTCACATTTAAACTTGTGGCCATGAAAAACTGAATAATGCTGACTTCACCAATAGCTTCACAACCATCTTGTATATGGCAGGTGCCCATCTATGAGATGAGGAATGATGGGAGGGACAACCTCTTGGGGGCACTGTTGATAGCAGGACAGTTTGTCATCCCAGAGGTGAGTTTTATTGGTTTTCTGTAAGAAATGCACATATTACATTTGGATACAAAGACAAGATACCGTCACATATTTGTGTTTTTTTAAGATGCTTATTTTGGAGCATGTTAACTTGAACAATATATAGCTAATGATAATTCTTGTAAAGAAATTATTTTAAAGCCGTTTGAGTGAATTGCTTGCTTTCTTCACAGGTTTGCCTCTATTTTCATCATAAGCTGTACAGGGGCAACCGTGTCACCAAAGTGGATGCTGGAAGTTTTAACGCATTTACCTCACCGAATCTGCCGCCATTAGCCAATGCAGAAGTCGACATTAAAAGTGATAACAGTTCTGCCAACATACACAGTCTTATGCCCGGTTCAGACTACACGATTTTAGCCCGATTTTGCCACGGAAGTCAGTCGCTAGTTCCGCATTCTCGATGACATCACGCGCGTTGTTAAAGACGGCACGCGATGAATGGTCAGGAAGCAACGTGTAGTCTGACATGTTTCTTGTCCACGCCACGACAAGATTTTAGGAGTCAAAATCGTGTAATCTGAGACAGTGACTATCGTGACCGACAAAAATATCGTGTAGTCTGAACCCGGCATTAGTCCCATTTGAGTCTATTAAATTAAAAGATTAGTTTACCCTCAGCTATGAAAATTTGGTATATTATTTTGCTCCCTTTATCTGCTTTTTTTCAATTCTTTTTACACACTTTTTTCTCTTTACTATGCAATTATAATGAGGCTTTCAAGATTCAAAAAGGACAAAAGTAACACCATTAAAGTATCTTAAAGGGATAGTTCACCCAAAAATGAAAATTCTGTCATTAGTTACTCACCCTCATGTCATTCCAAACCTGTAAGACCTCTGTTCATCTTCGGAACACAAATTAAGATATTTTTGATGAATTCCGAGAGCTCTCTGACCCTCCCATAGACAGCAAGGATCCTTACACGATCAAGGTTCAGAAACGTAGCAAGGAGATCGGTAAAATAATCCATGTGACATCAGTGGTTCAACAGTAATTTTACGAAGCTACGAGAATACTTTTTGTGCGCCAAGAAAACAAAAATAACGACTTTATTCAATGATTCGTCTCCTCCGCGTCACCCTATAGCGCCATTTTGGAGAGTATCGCATACGTAAACAACATTTGATGTTCTGTGTCAGCAGCACCATACGCAGATACGCTGTTTACATTGTTTACACTTTAGTCTGAATGTAAACAACATATTTGCCTACATACGTTGCATACGTTCTTTATGTATGTGATACTCTCCAAAATGGCGCTATAGGGTGACGCGGAGGAGACGAATTGTTGAATAAAGTCGTTATTTTTGTTTTTGCGCACAAAAAGTATTCTCGTAGCTTCGTTAAATTATGGTGGAACCACTGATGTCACATGGGTTATTTGATCGATCTCCTTGCTACGTTTCTGAGCCTTGATCGTGTAAGGATCCTTGCTGTCTATAGGAGGGTCAGAGAGCTCTCGGAATTCATCAAAAATATCTTAATTTGTGTTCCGAAGATGAACGAAGGTCTTATGGGTTTGGAACGACATGAGGGTGAGTAATTAATGACAGAATTTTCATTTTTGGATGAACTATCCCTTTAAAAGTGGTCTATGTGACTGTGCTGTATTGTATAATCACTTAAATTTTTCTGTTGCTTTCTTCAGAAAGTTAACATATGATTTCAGAATTTTTTTTATTTTTTTATTTTAGAAGCATGAAAGCTTATTTGCATGGTTTGCATCTCTGTTCAACTTGTTAATGATGCATAAAATTAAAATGACAAACATGAGGAGTAACAAATGTTGAGTCTAAATGTAAATATGGTTTAAAACTGCAAAAACATCACCATTGGATAGCTGACAAATGTATTAATTAAATGTATGTGAATATCTAAGGGAAAATGTATGTTTTAAGTCATCTTTCTTAATTTCTTACTTTTTCAGTTTAATAATCTTGTGGTGTGAAGAATTAATTAGAAAGTACAAATATTCCATGTTCTTACAATTAGTATTATACTGCATAAATAGCAACTGCAGAAATATAATATAAAAACTGCACATGCAATAACTATACACACCTTTTTTTTTAAGAAAAACATAAAGACATGTTTAATTGTGTATATCATGTCATATTGCCAGACGCTGCTGGAATTATCATGCCAGCTCCCTTATTATTGATGATGTTGTGTTATTAGTTTTATTCAGACCTGTCGTTTTAAGTATTATGCTTTGTTTTTTTTCTCTTTAGTTAACTGGGATACTGTGTGGCGAGCCAATACAACCTACAAATTCACTGTCAACACACAAATGAACCGTAATGTGGGTCTCCTGCGACTCTTCCCAGGAATCACTGCTGATACAGTAAGGCCGTGTGGTAATGTCTGCCTTTATTTGCCACATATTATCGACAAATCTCTTCATTCAGCGCAAGTACGTGTTTATTGTCATATATACTCTCTCATCAGGTGAGGGCCTTCTTGCAGCCTCCTATGGACGGGATCGTACTGGAGACCTACGGCAGCGGTAACGCTCCTGACAACCGTGCTGACCTGCTGGATGAGATCCGTAAAGCGACCCAGAGAGGAGTCATCATAATCAACTGCACCCAGTGCCTCAGGGGCTCGGTCACAACCTCATACGCCACTGGCCAGGTATGGGTGTTTGCTTGAGAAAGGCCTCATGTGGGTGTATTCCAGGAGTGTGTAATCCTTTAATATTCCCTCTCAGGCTCTGAGTGATGCCGGTTTGGTCGCTGGGTGTGATATGACGCCGGAAGCTGCTCTTTCAAAACTCTCTTATGTGCTGGCAAAACAAAACCTCAGTATAGAAGAGAAGAAAAAGGTATGCAAAAATGTCTATTAAAATTAAACCGAAACCACATTTGACATACGAGGGGAAAAACCGTTGTAAAAATGTAATTCATACGTTTTTAAAGAAATGTTTAAAAGTTGTCATGCAGTGTAACCAAGTAAATAAAAAAAGTAAACAAATATAATTAATTAATTAATTAATGGGAGAGTCACACCACTTGACAGATTGAACTAATTTAGCCTTATCATAAAAAGGCCAATATTTTTAGATCCTGATATTTTAGGAGATTTTTTTGTTGTTGTTGTTTTTGCATGTTGGTTATACCACATGATATATTTTTTTAAATATTAATAAGCAGTTTTGTTGTTAATAATAATTATACTAATACTAATTAGATTCTCCCAACATCTTAATAAGGTTTTCTTTTGAAGACCTGCAAGACATTTGTACTTAAACTTTAAAATGAAAACTGTTCTTTTTTTTTTTATATAAGATGCTGAGTCGCAATCTGCGTGGTGAGATGATAGCTGACCTGGGCGGAGCAAAGCTTTCTCTCAGTGACAGTCGATTTGTTCAGGTCATTGCCAAGACCCTCAGCATTAGCTGTAAAGAGGTAATGTAACCTGCAGTTTCCCATTTTCTAACAGTGCTTTGCATTTCAAACACTCAGGTGTAGGGGTGTGTGATATTGACAAAATCCTGATATTTTGGGGGGGATTTTGTTGATAATAATTTGAGCTTAATAATTTGTGCTGGTAACTGGTCGTGGACATCCGATTCCTAAAAATATTCAGAAATATTCTTTATATTCTGTGCAGTTATAAGCAGCAGTGACCTAAATGAACTTTTACATTTAAATTGATTTCCAGGGACATTTTTAACTTTGTACTTAACTTTTAACTAACTTTGAATTGTTTTCGTATCTAGATGTATGCATGATCTTACATTCATTCATATGTCAAATTCTTTTATTTATTCAAGAAATTCAGTTACTATAATAAGATACTTTGGAGTTTAAAAATAACATTTTGAACATTGAAATATGAAATTATTAATAAAAATCAAATTCGGTTTCAAAATATGCAACTAAATTGTCAGAAGGTTCATAAGGCTGATTCATTCAGAAAAAATGCAATTCCGTCTTTTATAAACATGTAATCGAATCGTTCACTCTAATGCTTCATTGAACAAACGCTGAATCTTTCACTGCTGTATTTATTTGGAACCTTTTCTGTTGCCATTCTAACTGCATTCTAACTGCAAGTTGTGTTTGTTTGTTTTTTGGAAAGTGAGTGACATACTCAATGTCGACTCACACATTGTTAAAATAACATTTATTGCACAGCCCTATTATACACAAACAGCTGTGTCGGTTTGATACACTGTATTTTAGTGTAAACAATGATGATTTGCGCATATGTGCACTGTAACCACGTTAGCATAATTAATTTTAGTAATTAGGGTGGTAAAACAATGGAGAGTGTTTGCAGATAATTCATGATTTATTCATGGTGAATTCCCGCCCTAAGAGTTTGTATAGCTCTACATGGTACAATCATAATAAGAAGCAGAGGTTGTGATTAACTATAATATTAATGGATAATATTGATGTCCACAGGAGCTTGAAGCCATACGAGATGCACTAACGCCCACTCTGGTGTGTGTTGCTTCTAAGATCGGAGACATTGAGGCTTTAGATGCCATACGGGAAATGGTAAGATCAAATCTTCCTCAGCATTTAGACATTATACTTCATTTGCAGTTATTATTTAGAAAATATTGGTTTATTTTCAAAATTTGAAATACCTAATATGCTTCTGCAGATACGGTAAACCATGGTGCTTTTATGGGTTATGCAGGTTCTAGTCAGCCCTGCAGTTTGTTCCAATCTGAATATATTAAAAGTGATGTAGGAGCATTCAAACAAGGTTTGCACTACCAAATGTAGTCCAGTAAAACACGATACAGAACATGACTAATGTCTTCTATATAGGGTACTGACTTGAGCATGGCAGATTATGATGGCCGCACTCCCCTCCACATCGCCGCGTGTGAGGGCCATCTGAAAGTGGTGGAGTATCTGCTGGGTAAAGGGGCCACCGTCTATGCCAGGGATCGCTTTGGTGATACACCTCTTCGCAATGCTGTTCGCTTCAGGTAAGACTGATTTTAGTGTCCAAATGCTTTTTGAGACCAGCAGAAGTAATTTCCATAAGTCAGTCTTTAAGACGAGCTAGACTGGTGGTTTTTAACTGATGGGTTGTGACTAAGCCTGTCACGATAACAACTTATCATTATTCATATTTAGGATAGCATTTACTTACCTCCCATTCCAAAACAGTATGAATTACTTTCTTCCTTCAAACACAAATGATGAACTCCAAGGTAAAGTCAATTAAGATGTAAGTGACTGTATATGAAACCTTTCTATGTCTGTAGGCATAAGGAGGTTGTGAAACTGCTGAGGAAGACTGGAGCTCATTTTTCCCGGGAGGAAATGGAGGATGCTGGAACAGAGTTGTGCAGGTCTCATTTACATTTCTTCTCAGTCCTTCTTTTTCTTATTGCTGTTATAAACTTGTGGGCACAGAAATTTGATAGATAGCACAAATGTTTATTATTATTATTATTATTATTATTATTATTATTATTAATAATTTATTTTATTACTATTCTTACACTTAGAGTGGTTTTCCAAATGGTAAATTAATATACAGTTCAACAAAATCTTTATTTTTTATTTTTTATATAATTTAAAAATGATGAACAGTTCAGTGTATTGAACACATAACAGAACTGGTCATCTCCTGTGTTGATGATTGCCCATTTAGAGCTTCTACTGTGTGTCTTACAGTCTTGCGGCGAGTGGCAACTTAGAAGCATTGGAGATTTGGCAGTTAGCTGGGGTTGATATGACCATGTGCAGTTATGATGGACAGACGCCCATTGAAGTGGTGAGTTTATAGGGATTTGAATAAATAAATCATTGTAACCAAACAATTAATACCTTCAGTGATGTTTCATTCATATAGCCGTATGAATGAACATTTTGATGTTGTGTTGCATTGGCTGTTCTCTTCAGGCAAGAGCCACTGGATGTGAGGAGGTCGTTGAGTTCTTAAAGCAGGCTACTCTGTACCAAACAAAGGTATGGAACCTAAAGTAACTAACTAACGCATATATATTTTCAGTTATAAGGATATTATATTATGATATTATCTTTTACTTGATGCTTAGACCACAATTTCAAAACCATTTGAATTTTTGGAATTGAGTGGTTTATTTGAAATGGTTCTGTGGTATGACATGAATTTTCGGAATCGCATGTATTCCATCAAAGCTGCATGCATAAGGAATATGCTGTTTGAAATATTAATTTGTTTATATAGCATGTGCATTACTAAAGTTAGTTATGCACAACTGAAATACACTGAATATGCCTACCTTTCCACAGACTGATACATTTTAAGTATTTATCAGATAAATATATTATATTTATCAGGTAGACTAATACATATTACATATTAAGTATTCTCAACATAAACATTAAGGGGTTTCAGAATAACTAAGCTTTCTTTTTTATAATTGATCTGTTTACTAATACTCTTAACTTTTCAGCATCAGACAGATGAGGGAAATGAGGTAAAAACAGTTCATCAGAGTAAAATAAAAATACATCTATCATTTCATTTCATGTGGAAAAAAATCGTATATACACACACTCAGTATATACTGTTTAAAAAATGTGCATGCTTCAGAATGATGTGGAAGTGCTTGTCTCATTGGAAGGGTTGTGAGTTGATCTCTCACAGAAAAACAATACAGGTTTTGGCATACAGAAATTAATAGCTTGAAAGGCATCTTTCATTACCTTTAGTGAGTAAATGGTCCTGTATTGTAAAACATCCATCGCTGTGATGAAGACTTGTAAGTGCATGTGCTCAAGTCTTTGTGGCATGATTGGTGTGTAAGTGAAGTTACCAAAAATCAACAGCTAAGTTAACAAAAAATCCCTCGTCTTTTTCTTGCAGCCAGTATTTGAGGAGGATGAGGAGGAGGTAAATTGTGTGTTGAGCTGGATAGCATTCAGCACACATGTGCAGTCATAGTTTACACTGAGCTGTGCTGTGCTGTGATTGGACAGTGTTCGACCATTTTTATGTTCATAAATTAGCAAAAACGTAACTTGATTGTGCATTGATGCATTAATATTTCACAGATGGAGATGTTGGTCTGGACGGAACAGAAAATAGTGTTGAGAACTGCTTTAATGTGTTCTTAAAAAGAAAGTTGTTAAACTGATAAATACTGTGACTGCAATCTGCATTTTGCACATTGATCTTTTTTTTTTTTTTCGCATTTAAAGTGTGAAAGTGTGCTTATATTACATTATTCTCTGTCTGTTCTCTAGAATGGCGAGTATATCGAGTTTACCGCTTGTCCAAGATCCTGAGGAGGCCGTCCTGCTAGCTGTCACTTTTTTTTGCCATTATCATCCATCCAGTTTTTACCTGACCTATTGCAGATTTTCCTTACTTGGACCAACATCCTCTTAAAACATAAAAAGCACAAGCCATAGCTTTTAAGCCCGTCCCTCTAAAACAGTAAGCAATCCGTTATGAATGTATCGTGGTGATGAACAATCATACACACTATTTATGTACAAGCACATTATTCAGACTATATTACAGTACAAGGTACTGTAAATGCTGACCTCAAACAATATGATACGTCCTTATTTGAATATGATATATTTATCGTTTAGATTCAGAATGAATTTAGATATGTGAAGCTGTCAGGACTAATGGCTGTTGTCTTCATTCAGTGTTCTTAATGTGTTCACATGTATCAGATTCAGTTTCACCTCAGTGCTGTCACCTAAACCTGAATGTATTTTAAAAAAGCAAATACAATTGAAACCGCAGTGAGGAGGAAGGATACATAATGTAATCTACAGAGAAGCAAACCAAAAAAAAGTTTGATGGTTCAAAAGTTATACATGTTAAACTAAAACAACCAGTTGCCCTCCTGAGTAACTGTCAAAAACAATGTGTTTATAATCCAAAATGTAGTGGAACATCAGTGTTTTCTTGTTCTTTATTTTTGTTGGCATAAAAAGTTTATTTTTGTTTATTTCTGTAATTCAGTGTTTCGTATTCATACGTATTCATGGTTGAATTTTAGTTCACCTCAGAAAAGGTTTCAATCAAATTGTTTTATTGTTACGTTTTTAATTGTTGTAGCAATAGAAATATGAAAGCATATGTTTATGCTGTTGAAACATGCAAATCAACACATGCCTGTCATTGTGACATTAAAAGGCAATAAATGTTTTGTTGCAAAAATGTAAAGTACTTTTTTCATGTGCAAAGAAAAAATGACTAAAGTGTCCAAAAATACATAAATTATATTTCACATTATGACATACTTATAAAGAGAGAGTCAGTTAAGAACTACTAAGTATATATTTGTATTTATTATATAATTTTATTCATTGCTTTACACTGCTTTTATTTATTTTTTCTGATACTGACTTGCTTTGTAAACATATAGGAAAATGATTCAAAGGCTGATTGTCCTGAAAAGGCTCGTTCAGTATTTTATCTTTTGGCCTGACCAACAGCAGACAGGGAAGTGTGCAGAAAGTCTGTTTGAAAACTGAAGTCATTATTTTTTTTTAATTCTGTTCGTTAATTGTAGTTGCACAGAAGTTCAACCTTAAAGGCAGGGTATGTGATTTTTCAAAAACACTTTAGAAAACTGATTCGGGCCTAATCGCAAAACAAACTTGTAGCCGATCAGCAATAAGGGGCGTGTCTACTCGTGATGTGGAGGAGAGCGCGTTCAGTGCATGGGACGGACATTAGCCGAGCGAGCGACAGAAAGATAGAGATGGCGGATAAAAAACAAAAGAGGAAAACGTCTGCGGAACGATAAGGCAAGAAGTAGGACCTTTGTAAATATCGGATCAGCTTTCCAGCGATGGAGAGAACTCAAGGAGCGGAGGCCTGCGATCGGACGCCGAGGTTGCTTTGTTTCTTCTCAATAGGTGAGTAACACCGTGTCTACAACAGCTAAAGTCTGCCTACACTGGACACGATCAAACGACCGTTGAAAACCATTTGAAATGTGTGTCAGCACGTCATAAATAGAACCTGGTTACTTTTTCATGGAATAACCATATATTGTAATGCATTACTTTTAAAAGTAATTTTCCCCAACACTGCGTATAAGATATGATATTACAACAGATTACGTAAGAATGATTTTACATAGACACACATTCTGCTCGGCTCAAGAAATGGAAGCATGTAGAAGAGAAGAGATGTGCTTTTGTTGACTTCATCACCATGGAGATTTAATAGGCTCGTATTGGGCCACCGTAGACATGGTGTAACATTGGTTTTGCTTTGTTTCACAGAACTAATCGTTGCCTGGGTTGCGTACGTATATGTGGGGCGGAGCTATCAAAATAGGGGCAAGACCCTTTTGGGGTAGGGGCGTGTTTGTTTTGGTGATTTCAAATATCAACATTGGCTACCAGAAATCACTTACTCTGCCTTTAATGGTTAAACAAACAGTCAGAAATTATTAGAGATATTTCTCCCCTGTAGCCCAAGGAGGGTGCTGTTTCTTCAACTTTTCAAAGCGTTCCTCCGATAGTACTGGTTCAAACTATTAAGGGCAGTCAGATTTTTTTATTTTATTTTATTTATTTATTTATTGAAAAAAAATATCATAGTGGTAGTAAAATGTATTTATGAAATAAATGCTGTTCTTTTGACCCTTCTATTTATCATAGAATCCAAGTAAAAAAATAAATACATAAAAAAATGTATCACCATTTTCCACAAAATTATTGAGCATCACAACTGTTTTCGATATTGATGAAGAAATGTTACTTGAGCACAAAATCAGCATTAGAATGATTTCTAATGGATCATGTGACATTTAAGACAATTATGCTTTTCAGATTTGCAATTACAGGAATAAATTACATTTCAAAATATATTAAAATGGAAAACAGTTATATTAATTATTATTATTATTTATTTTTTTTTTACAATATTTCTGTTTTTACTGTATTATTTAGCATGTAAGTAGTAGAAATTAACATTAACGTAATGAATTATCAATGTACGGTATTTTTATAGACTGGCATCAATAGATTAATAACTGATGTAAAAATGATACCTAATGCATTACTATTTAACAATTGTAACAAGTTATGTTATATTAATGTTATATTAGGATTAGAGTTTTGAAGAATGGCCACAGATGACTGACTAAAGTGCTAAAGAAAGACCACTGATCAAATGACTAACAATCAAAGATGATTTATTTTGTGAATGACGTGTCAAACAACACACTGTCAAGCAAAAACAACATAATTTGCCGTCTCCCTCTCTGTCTCATTCATACCCATAGCAACATTGTTTGGTAAATGATATTTTGTCATTTAAGCACATTGTTTGTTTTCTTATGGCACCCTTTCATTTAAATGATCACAAGCATATGTTTGGGCTCATCTGAGGGGATACTGCTTTGAACAGTTGGGCCTCTTGTGTGTGTGTGTGTGTGTGTGTGCGTGTGTTGGGCTGCTTTGGCCCCTGCTGTTCTATTGATCCATTGAACAAGGCCCGGGCTGCACCCTCCTCCATGTCTTTATTCACTGGGAGGATGTCATGAGGCTTGGGAGGGATTTCTTTTTAAAAATGGAGAGATTAAAGCAATCTTTTCAACAAACTATAAGCAGCCGCATGGCTCTATTAGCTCATCTGTTCACCTAACAAGGGTGGCCCAATGTAACGGCACTTTGGGGCCGCATGAATATTTATGCGCTTTTAGGATAAGCCACCCATTTTTAATTAGGACATGGAGGTCGTGCAAATCTGGCCACTATCTGTGGTTAAACGAGGAACATCCCCAGTGCACTTCTCAATAACCCCCGCTAACATGGTGCACATCCAGTCTGAATTCTGCGTCTTCACATTTGCTCATCCCACCTCCTGCTCGCTAAAAAGTGTAATCATCTGCACTTTGCCTTTCACTTGAGGGGACGTCCCGCTGCTCAGGCAGACGGCCCCCTAAAATGGATTAAAATCCCCCTGACTCCCTTTCCTTTTTTAGAGAAAACCTTAGGTCCACCCATCTCTCAGTCTATAAACAATATGTTCATTAAAGAGTATTTGTTCATATGAAATACCTCATAAGAAAATGATTGTGGAAATATAAGTGCATTCAGCAGATACTTTAGTGATTTTATGATTTTATGAATATGTATCTGTTCTTTTAGATTAAAAAAGAAAGATTTAATATCCATCCATCCATTACTATTAACATTTTAATTGTAATATGTCAAAAGGAAACCTGGCTTTATCTGATGCAATCCAATACAGATTTCTGTTCTGGAAAGTATGCAAATTAGCCCATATTTAGTTGAGAATTAGTGCAATTGCCTCATTTCCGTATTTAAACAAGATCAGAAACTTGTATTACAAAAATAATATTATTATATTTATTTTTACCCTATTTACATGTAGTGTCTTGCCTTAAATAATATCATATTAATTTAATTTAATTTAAGTATAAACAATAGACCAAATACTAATTACTAAGTTGTGTAATAAACTAATTGTAGGGAATCTTTGCATTTGTTGTAAACCATCCATTGAAGAGGCCAGCAATATGTAATTCAGCATTATTAACCATTATTGAATTTGTAGCTATATGAGCCTCAGGGCTCAGTTCTTGGACCACTTCTCTTCTCTTTCTACATGGCATCACTAGGTTCTGTCATTCAGAAACATGGCTTTTCATATCACTGCTATGCTGATGACACTCAACTCTACCTCTCATTCCATCCTGATGATCCGACGATAGCTGCTCGCATCTCAGCATGTCTAACAGACATTTCTTGTTGGATGACGGACCATCACCTTCAACTCAACCTGGCTAAGACAGAACTGCTCGTGGTTTCAACAAACCCATCACTATTTCACCATCCAGTTAGGCTCATCAACCATAACTTCCATATGTATATAACAGGGGTTTGAATAAAAAGAATAAAAAGTAATATTTACTTTAATATTTTTACTATCATATTTTAAATAATATGGTAGACCTGATTATAGGTACATTTAATCTTCTACATGCACTGTAAATAATTCAGGGTTCAAACGATTTTAAATAGTAGCCATTAACAGTGTGTTTTAATTTTATTTTGGGGGTAAATAACAAAATAAAATGTGAGATGAAGCCTGACGACAAGCTCCGGAGGTCGCTGTGCAGCAGGACAGTTTGTCATCCTCGAGGTGAGAGCCTTCCCTTCACATAAACGATTTTGTGGCTTTTGTAAGTGCAGTATGTGCATGATACAATCATATATTTGCCATATTTGTTTATTTCAAAACACATAGAATATAACATTTTACCCAGCACTGTGTAATATTACATACATTTATTTACACAAAACTGCTGAACTACAATCTAATTCTGGCTTTCATATTTAACTGTTTAATTTGTCAGATCTGTTGTTCAGAGTGACTAAACACAGTCAGAACAAACACGTAACATCCTTGTACATCACTCGTCAAACAAGTTCATACACGTTCAGTCGGCCCATAAAAGGTGTTCCAGTGAAGGGTGACGCAACTGAAATGATTAGAACCTGAGGAAAAATACTATGAAGCACAATAAATGACATGTAAAATTATTGAAACGTTGTGTGAATTGAGTAATGGACAAGAAAATAAGCCTCAGGGTTGGTTTTTTATCACTATCTGTAGAGGCAATCGTGTCACCAAAGTGGATTCTGAAAGCTTTAAAGCATTCGCCTCACCAAACCTGCCAATGCTGAAATCGACGCTGAGAGTAATCCCAGGATTTCTTCCAACATGTATGCACTGTTGCTATCAGAAATCTGTCTATGAAGTTACTGATGCTTGAAATTTTTATTTATTTATTTAGTCCTGTAGTGGGAAACAATGTGAATTTAGGAAAGTACAAATATTCCATATAGCCTCTCAATATACTGTATACATTTTTATCGTGATTTATCGTGAAACCGGTAACCGTTCCATCCCTAATACATATAAAGCCCATTTC